TACGATGATTGAGAATTGGCGCCCCATTAGCCTGCTCAATGTCGATAGAAAGATCCTGGCCAAGATCCTTTTCTGGCGCTTGTCGTCAGTGGCAGACGGTCTACTTTCGCAGCAGCAGCACTGCTCGGTCCAGGGCAGGAGTACTTTTTCAGCGGTGTTAGCTGTCCGGGAGGCTCTGGAGCGGTGCAGGGCTGATGGCTGTGGGAAGTACTTGCTGGCGTTGGATCAAGCTAAGGCTTTTGATCGGGTCGACCACAAGTACCTCTGGCATCTCCTTGACAGGTATGGCCTGGAGGGGAGGTTCATTGGATGGCTTCAGGCTTTGTACAGAGGGGCTGAGAGCTTCATGTTGATCAATGGTTGGATTGGGCGGCCCTTTGGGGTCGGCTCGGGGGTGCGCCAGGGGTGTCCGCTGAGCCCTCTGCTCTATGCCTTTGCCATCGACCCCTTCATTAGAAGGCTAGATGATGGGGGTTTGGGCGGGGTGCCGGTGGGCACTACTGGTGAGCCACCTTTGAGGGTCGTGGCTTATGCCGATGATGTATCTGTATTCATCTCTGGGACCGGTGAGGCGCAGGAGGTGGTCTCGGTGATGGAGCAGTATGCAGAGGCATCAGGCTCCAAGATTAATCATGACAAGTGTGAGTTTTTTCTGGATGGGCAGGGAAGGTGAAGGCTTCGAGCTTCCGGATGCCTTCCCTGAGCCCCGACAGAAGGTAAAAGTGCTAGGCATCGAATTTGGCCCTGACGACTACAGCAAAACAAATTGGGAGTCCAGGTTGGCAGATGCTGATGTTAAAGTGAGATGCTGGAAGGGGGGGTGGCGGCTGTCCCTAAGGGAAAGGGTTGACCTAATCAAGACTTACTTGGTCCCTGTTTTCTTATACGTCAGTTTCGTTTGTCTCTTGCCAGAGTCTCTCTACACGAGGGTTTACAGCTGCTTCTTCCAGCTATTATGGGGGAACAGACTGAACCTTGTGAGGCGGGATGTGACTTATCGATCCAGGCGGGAGGGTGGCCTAGGTATGGTCAACCCAGTTGTTTTCTTCTCTCTGATGTTTATTAAACATAATCTTGGTAGCATGTTAAAAGAGAGACCGCCTGCATGGGTAGGCCTTTTCCAAGTCTGGTTTAAGCCTTTTCTGAACTGCTGGGAGAGAGGCGGGCCAGTGAGAAGCTTGAGAGTCAGGCATGGTAAGCTCCCGGCTTATGTCGCTCCGTGCTTGAAGATACTGAGGCGGTGGTGTGTGACTGCGGAAGAGGTCAGATCACTCCCTGGGAGACTCCTGAGGAGAGAGGGTCGTGGCCTCTGCGTTTCATGCACCATTGGCCTTGAAGGATTGCCCAGGCCATATTTTGCGGGAGGGGCTACGTTTGATAAATATGGAAAGGATTCCCTTGAAGTTTAGGGACCAGGCCTGGCTTGCGTTCCACGGCAGGCTCTATGTGAGGGGAAACTTGAAGTACCGTTCTCTGGATAACCGTGGTTGTCCGAGGACGGAGTGTGGGGGCGAGGTGGAATCTATGGACCACTTCTTGCTTCAGTGTCCCTTCAACATAGAGGTGTATAAAGAGGTGGGGAGGGCTCTAGACATCCCCTTCCTACACTGCATGTCTTATGCAGAGTGGGTATATGGGGCATTGGAAAGTCATACTGGTTTTGATTTGAACACTCTTTTTCTAGTTTGTCTAGTGACCCGTTACTACACATGGAATGCACGGTGTCAGGTTTCCATTCGGCAGAAGGTCCTTCCTGTTCAGGTGGTGGTGTGTGACATCCTTGGTGAGGTTGGGAAAATTCGGGGTCTAGAGAAAGACAGACAGGTTGCGGCGAAAGGCCTGGATAGAGGCGTGGAGGAACATCAGGCCTGTAGCTGCAATCTGTTGATCTCTTGGTGAGGTTGCTTTCCTGTTTTTCCTCTTCATTCACTCCCCTAGATTTTGGTAAGAAGTCTTTTTGAAGAAAGGCTATGTGCACCTGAAGGTCTAGGTTCCTTAGCTTTTGGTTGAGTAGACAAGTAGTGTTTTTTTAAAGCCATAAAGGCTTTTGTTGTTTAGTGGAAGTTGCTTCCCCTACAAGGGGAGGATAATTTTATACTTGATAAGTGGGCCATAAGGGTCTTGGTGATGTTTTTTTACTTTTTTTTTCTGCTTCTTACCTGCCCAGTTAGTAAAGCCATAAAGGCTGTTATTATTCAGTGGAAAGTATATATCTGATTTAGGGAGATGTATCCTGTTCTTGTTTTTGTTTATGTTTCCAGTTTATTGAATACTGTATGTATTTATTTATTTTTTGTATTTTTGTATAAAATGAAAGCTGGTTGCAAGATTTTATTTCAATAAAACCACACACACACAGATCTCCGTCTGGCAGATCTGTTACCTTTACATTTCAACATTCAGTATATACAGTATATGTATATATTGAAATACATTTTTAAATATATTGAATATGGCCAAAATTGTAGCACTTCAAATATATGCCAATATATTTGGCTCAGCCCAGGAGGAATGCCCACTCTCCACCACTACTTAGGTGAAAGTTTTGTCAGAAGAACAGGAAGTGGGGGGAAATCTCTCTAATGGAGTCCTAGATAGCGGTAAAACCTGACAGGGGTTCTATGCTTTCCCCACTCTTTCCAACACTATATTATTTTTATTGCTTTTAAAAGCCAGCATTTGGAGCAGGCTTGTTTTTTTTTTAATGGAATACACTAGAACATATTCCTCAAGGAGCATTCTGTCTCTTTTCTCTAGAACAATGGTTCCTAACCACTGGACCGTGGCCCACTGCCTGGCCACAGCCTTCCTCCTAGATCTCCAGATCCCCTAGCCTTGCAGCTCCCATAGTTCCACCCAACCTCCTATAGTGACCTGCAGTGTTCCTCAGGCTCTCATAGTATCCCAAGGCCTCCTACAAGCACTCAGTCCCCACAGTGCCTGCCAATCTCTAACAGTACCCCCCCCCCCTCCCCAGCCCCCTGCAGGGTCCTCTAGCTTACTGCAAAGCCTCCAGCCCCCCCTCCCCCCATAGTGCCCCCAACTGCATCTCACAGTGCCCCCTAGCCCTATAGTCTCCCACACGCCCAAGAAAATCCACCATTCTCCTTGAGAGGCCACAAAATCCCCTCTAGAGACCCGATTCCTGAAAGTTACCTCTAGTTCCCTCCAAAAACTTTACCCCCAACAAGGCCACCTAGTCTTCTGTAGTGTCATCCAACCCCCTTTAAAAACCCTCAACGCCACAGTGATACCCAGTCTAATTCAGAGCCTTTCAGAATTTCAGTCCATATTTTGTATTCCCATACTTTTCTTGTGTGAGTATATATTTTTTTTACTGTTGGAAAATTATAAATTTTTTATTATTATTATTAGTAACAGTGTGTATATATATATCTATGAGTATAGTTGACCCTCCTTATAAAAAGCACTCAATTGTATAAACCAAAATGTGAATCAAACATAATAATAAATGGAAAATAGAGAAGAGACAGTGCTTCCACCACGGTGTATCAGAGTGAAAAATGCACACAATCCAGTCCACCTTATCAGTCTTAAATAATTTCTGTATTCTAACAAATCCACTCCAACATCTTTGTGATCTTGCAGTGATTAGCACCCCATCAAAATGGACACTCACCAGATACTGGTGAATAACCAGCGGTGGAAAATCTCTTCCTTAACAGCAAGTATTGGGGAATAACCAGCAGTGGAAAAACTCCTCCTTAAGAGATAGACAGTGATACCCCATCCAGTTAAATGAATGATCAATAAAACATTCTCCTTGCAGGCTCCACAGCACCGTCACCATCCAATCCAATACATGGGTGAAAAAGTGGAAAAAAAACCACATAGTGTAATTCCATTTTTAGAGCCTTTATTGCCTCAATCTCCCCTTAAAATACACTCACATTTTAATAAATTAATAAAGCACAAAAGCACAAGTAAAACGTTGGTAAATGTTACTACTGCTTCAACGGTGTAATAGCATCTTACCGCACACAGCATCGCTACTAATTTCCGCATAGGGAGATCATGTGGTGTTGGTGAGCGTGCTGACATCACGGATGGTCACGCCCTGACCATCTGACCCCCTGCTCCCCAAAGTTGCCAATCCTTAACAGGGAGCGGGGGGGACGAAGCATTAAAGCGGATCTTCCCCTTTTGGATGGAGCTCCACTTTAAGCGGTGTATTGCATGACGTATCTAAAGAACAGTACTTGTAACAAGTTGACTGTAGGTTAGAGCAGATACAGTACATTTTAGACCAGCATGTAGTTTGCTGTCTAGTGTAGGCTATATTGCCATTGCTAAGCAGACAACCAGCCAGGGATTGGGTGACTTGGTGTACGGTGATGTTCACTATGGTAGTGAAGGGTTTTCTGCTTGTCCCCTTTACTAGCAGTCAGTTCACCACCTTTTGGAATCGTACCTGGGGCACAGAGTATCTAGGGACCTAGTCTGGGAATTCATGGATGAGAGGTGTAGAGGAGCCCTTGAGACAGAGAAAGCAAGCACGTAGTTACTGAGTGAAGTTCATTTTTTGTATCCAGTAGTAACTGTGGAAATGTCACTGGGAGTCAGGTAACAGGTATTGCTGTGTTGATGGATGCTGGTGCAGGCTCTGAGGAAATGGTTCCTAAATGCTGTGCACCTGGCAGTTGGTGTTCTAACTGTAGTAGCGTCGGTAGTGCTCAGTGTTAACAGTACAGTCAGCCATGTGTTGATAAAGGGTTAACTGTGCCCATTGCAGCTTGCTTCTAAGTCTGGAGTTGTGCCCTAATGCTGATTTTCACATGACTGCAAACTCCTACCTAGAACCTAGGCAATTAGTGAGTGTAGTTCTAGTGTCCCCCACTAGGGTGCCTAAGCCCTGCCCACATCCTCAATGGGGTCACAGCAAAAAAAAACTTGCCAGTGGTATTTGATTTTCCCAAGTCTATCCAAACTTCAAAAACAGGGTTGCAGCTACGAAATTATCTGGAAAAAAAAAATCTGAATCAGAAGAAGTCTCCTCCACCACCACCATCATCATCATCATCGTCCCCTCCAGCCCTCTCCTTCTTCTTCTCTGGACTCTCCAGTTTGTATTTTATCCTGCGGATCGGGTCGCTGATACTCTTGGAGGCGGTTGAATCAGAGAATTCTGCTGGTAAGAAGTCCCTGTTGACGATCTCAGACACTTCCTGCCAGTTCTGGAAGCAGGGAGGACCCAGGCGTTCAACTTCATCCACTGCGTTAGGGGAGATCACCTGTCCAGAGGGTTTGAGGACCACAAGGACCGGTACTTCGGAGACTGAGAACTGGACTTCAAGGTCCCTAAAAAATAATACAAGTAGGTTATGGTTTAATATTTCTTACACTATGTTAGAGCCTCAAAGTGGACCTGACATCTGATATATTTGGACACAAATCAGCCCCTGCTGCAGCCTCCCACTTTGTGACTTGCTACAAAGTTGCAATGGTACAGTTTTTTTCCCTGGGAGGAGCAGTGATTGAAGAAATGTTTCCTCCTGCCTGCAGCAAACTGATGATATCTTTTCAGCCTAGGAAGTGACTTTACAGGAGCTCAATATTTGCTTTTAAAAGGTACTGACTGAAAAATCTCTCTCTCTCTCTCGATTGAACACCCTAAGAGAGAAAGGCTGTGGTGTGTAGAAAACAGCATATGTGGCTTAAAGTGTACATACACTTACCGTCCACTTTATTTTTTTATTTATTTATTTAATTTAAATATTTATTAAATTTTTCATGTTAATACAAAAACCCAAAAAGGGAAGTAATTCTCATACAAATAGACATTTATAACATTTCTGCCTTTCCCTTACTAAAAACTCTTTTCTTTCCCATCCCACTACCCCTCCTTCCCACCCCTCTTCCCCCCTCCTCCCCCTCTGCAGACTCTAACCCATTCTATTCTCTTGAGGCTTTTTAATTTTTTGTTAACATCCTAGTTCATGTTTTCCTATATTACTCTTTCAATCCTGCTCTTTCCCACTTTTCCCATCTCCTGAGATAAACTCTCATTCTATCTTTCTGCATATGATATGATCTTTCCATTCTACCTATCTGGTTTACTCTGTTAATCCAGTCCACCTCCTTCGGTACCTCGACTTTCCGCCAAAACTTGGGTATCAACCCTTTCGCCGCATTCAAGAAGTACCAAATACCTGAATCTTTATATTTATTTACAGATGTCTCCACATTGTGTAGGAAACACGTCGTTGGGTCTAATCCTATGTCAATTTCCGTTATTTCTTCAATCAACTTGACTATTGTCTTCCAAAAAGCCTGGATTTTCGGACATTCCCACCATATGTGAAACACCGTGCCTATATCTCCACATCCTCTCCAACACATATTTGAACTTTCCCCATTCATCTTGTGTTCTACACTCGGTGTAATGTGCCATCGTGTCACACACTTATAATTAACCTCAACCTCTCTCATACTAACATTATCGTGTATCAATCTAAACATCTTTCTCTGTCTATCTTCATCAAACCCAACTCCCATATCTCTTTCCCATTTTGTCATAAAGATTAACTTTGTGTTTGTGTCTAATTCTGTGAGTATTCTATACACTTTTGAAATACCGTGCTTCCCATCCCTTCGTGTCTCTAACAACCTTTCAAACATATTCCACTCCTGTTTTATTCTCAAAGGTTTCGGTAGTTTTCCAATAAAACTTTTCAATTGATGGTATTTCCACTCATCCATTCTAATAAAAATGTCTCCCTTCTTCTCTATTAACTCTTTAAGTGATCTCAATTCCCCCTCCACCAATACATCTCTCAGTTGGGTGTCCTCCTTTCTAAACCATCTCCCCGATATCTTGTTCTTTCCCGGAGGAAAGTACTCAGTATTTGTGAGAGGCATTAATATTGAATTAAATTCCCATTTCATATTTTTATGTAAATTGTCCCATACCCTAAAAACATTTAAAGTGTAAATACTTGTGCTTTCTTTAGTTCCCCTGAACTGTGGTGGGACCCATATCATCTGACTCAATCTAATGCCACTAAGATCATTTTCAATTGTTACCCAACTTTTCCCCTTATGGTTAAATGTCCAATCATATATTCTTGCCAAAACCACTGCTTTATAGTATCTCTTGACATCTGGTAAACCCAATCCCCCTTTCTCTTTAGTCCTACTCAATATTTCATATGCTATTCTAGGTTTTTTATTCTTCCATATGTATCTTGTTAACATTTTTTTCATTATCTTAAAGAAGGCTTCTGGAATTTTAATTGGTACCATTTGAAATCTATACAGTATTTTAGGCATAATTACCATTTTGACTAAGTTTATACGTCCTATCCAGGATAGATTTCCTCCTTCTAGTCTTTTTAAATCTTCCCTGATCTCATTTATCAAAGAGATATAGTTTAATCTATACAAATGCTTAGATGAGGCAGTGAGTTTTATTCCTAGGTATTTTATCTCTTTTTCTCTCCATATAAAGGGGATGTCAGGAATGGACTGGCCAGCAATGGTGGGACTCACCTGCCTTTTGATCTGCAGTACCAGGGCTGGCCAGCGGGTGCTCCCAGCAATCAGAGACTCAACCTTTCAGCCAGCTAACACCTGGAACTGATGATACTGGTGTATTTAAGGGATGCCAGACTTGCAGACTCTGCCTTGGTGTTGTGTTTGTCCTGGGCCCTGTATCTGTCCTGCATCCTGTTTCTGTTCCTTTGCTACCTGTTCTGATCCCTGGCTTGTGACCCTGACCATCCCTCTGCCTGACCCTCTGTACTACGCTGCTTGCTACCTGTTCTGATCCCTGGCTTGTGACCCTGACCATCCCTCTGCCTGACCCTCTGTACTACGCTGCTTGCTACCTGCTGAACCTGGCCTGTGACCCCGACCATTCTCCGCTTGCTCCCCCTGTACCTACCTGCCCAATTGATATTGACTCGGCCTGCCTGACGACGCTTGCTTGTATGTACTGTTATCTGTGGGTGGTTGGTTGGGTTTGTTTGCACTGTATTATGTTTAGTATTGCACTGCGTTTATGTTTGTATTGTTAGTGTTAATAAATTACATTGTTAATCACATATCTGAAGTCTGCGTTTCCCTGCTTCAGTCACACACCTCTGGTCATACCTGGGAGCCCTGACAGGGGAATTCTTTTTGTAATTTTTCTTTTTCATTCTTTGATATATTAATATTCAGGATCTCTGGATTCCCTTTACCGATCCACTATTTCTTATTATTGGACAACAGAGGTTCGAGTGACAATACATATAGCAGAGGGGACAGAGGACAGCCCTCTGTCTTGTACCATTGACATTCCAATGGGTTCTGATCTCTCCCCATTTACCGTGATGGATTGCAGTAGGATCCCTATATAGTTTACTTATCCAATCTCAACTCTTTCTTTCCTATTCCCGAACACTTTTAAGTTGTCCATCATTAAAGCCCCAGTCCCACTCTATCAAATGCCTTGCTCCGCATTCAATGACAAGAGCACCACCGCGGGGCTTTTCCCTCTTCTTACTCGTCTTAATAATGCATCAGGGTTCTCAAGAAGCCGTATATCTCTACCTTCTCATCCCCGGTACAAAGCCCAACCTGATCTCCATGAATCCATTACATAGCATCAGATCTCTCAACCTGTTTGCTAACATACCTTTTGCAGCATACAGTTTAGTGTCTGTGTTCAATATGTGAGATAGGTCCTATTGAGCTGGAGCACTAGAGATGGGTCCTTTCCCTCCTGTGAATAATACTACCATGTGCCTGTAGGGATTCCTCTCCTCACTTTCCATCCCACCTCCCGAGCATTCAAAAAAATTTTTTCCCGCTTTGGGGAAAATTTCATTTTTTTTTTTTGATTGGGGCTTAACTGGTTTTTTTAGCCTTTTGGATTTTTTTTGGCTTTTTCCCCCCCCCCTGTACTTCTTTGTTTTTTAAAACCCCCTTTGGGGTTTCTTTGTTAAAAGTAATGGGGCTCCTTTAAAATTTTTTGGTAAAAAAAATTTTTTATTTTATAAACTTTTTTTCCTTAACCCCGGGCTTTTTAGGGGGTTGGGGGCCCCGATTAAAAATAAAC